GTCAGCCACAATGTACATATATTGCAATCTGATTAAAATCCGATGTTGTGATACGCTACACTCCCTCAAAGTTAGGGTGGAGAGTATTGTAGCGAAAACTAACAGCTGATTTTAATGAGATTGCATATATTGCTTTTGTCCTGCGGTTTACACAAAAAGAAATATTCACATAACCGCTTGCTCAGCATGGAATAGAGACAATCTCCAAATCATGCTTAATGTTTCAGAAAGATACTCCAATCAACATCATTACACAATTCATCCTACAAAAACAAAAATTTTCACATGTGGAAATGTCACCCTGATTGGACTCTATATGATACTCCGGTAACAGTATCAAAAGAAGCAACTCATTTAGGTATAGGAAAAAGGAAGGAGAAATAAATGTGGCAAATAGAATAAAAGTTGCAAGACGAACTTTGTATGCCCTAATAGGCTCTGTGGTGCATGGGACAAATGGCTTGGATCCAGTAACATCTCATAAAATCTACAACATATATGTTCTGCCAAGACTCCTTTATGGTTTGGAAGCTATTCCTTTAAAAGAGGGACGAAAGATACCAGAGGGACAGTCAAACTCATAGATCGAAAACAAACTGACAACGCCATGGCCAAAAATAAAAAGACAAACAGACAAATAATAGTACATATGACACAACATAGAAAACTAAAGACTAAGCAACACGAACCCCACCAAAACTGGGGGTGATCTCAGGTGCTCCGGAAGAGTAAGCAGATCCTGCTCGACATGTGGCACCCGTCGTGTTGCTTATGTTATTACAAATCCGGTAAATAGTCTAATTCGGTAAGTCACATTCGTGAAAAGGGAAGGGTATTGTAGTTACGACATAAGGAACATATCCGATATCATCTGTGAAACGGTTATTCCATAACGGTCAACCAACTCGTGATGGCGTCCGTAAAATTTACGAAGGGATGATTTCAATTTCACCATTTGGAACTCTTGGCTTAATAGCTTCCTTGTGAGCAGCAATCCTCTATCAAGGAAATCATGATAGGAAACACAAGCCCGGGAATATCGTATCAATTTGGAGATATATACTCTAAATAAGACCAATATAGCACAGCTGAAATCATTTCATAGAAAGAATTTAAGACATCTCCAATCTCTACCTCAACGTACGGCAATAGCTGCGATATACCTCTTGATTGGCGGACTCCCAATTGAAGCTGAACTTCACAAAAAGCAACTGTCCTTTCTTCACAATTTACTTTCCTCTAATGTTCAAAGAGTAAAAGATATCATCATCAGGCAAATGTCAGTTAACTACGATAACCCGAACAGCCTTTTCTCAACAATTCGAGAACTCTTATCAAAGTATGGACTGCCTCCGATTCATCTTCTTCAAGAATCTCTCCTTTCAAAAATGAAATGGAAATTTCTTGTAACAAAGCAATTGAACACCTACTGGCTCAATACGTTAAAAGACGAATCTGAATCCAACTCTAAGATATATGGAAACTAATCACCTTCTTATTGGCAAAAATCATCCAGTCTGGAATATCTTTGACAAGACAAAAGCTGAAGTTCGAAAAGGTGTTATTAAAACTAGAATTAGTTTCAGAAAAATTTATACTCAATTCTGATAGAGCGAAAGTTAATCAATCACCTTCTCCACTTTGTCAGTTATGTAATCTTTATCAGGAAAATATCTCTCATTTTCTCTGGGATTGTCGACTATTATCCAAAACTAGAATTACATATTTTAAACCTATCAAGGACTATGTTATTCATCATAAAACAGAAGAAGTCTGGCACAATGTGTTTCAACTTAAACCAAACATTATCAGGCTAATTATAGACTGTAGACATTTTTCACAAATACTAGCAGATATAAATATTATGAACACGATAGAAACCATAACTAGGGAGATGTGCTATAAACTGTATATAAAACGCTTAAAGTTGCTTGAGACAATGGATAGTTGACGGTCTGAAATAAGCAGTTTTTTAGTCCGTATAATTTGAGTTTTATTATTCATAAATGACAGTTTGATTTTATGTGTAAATAGAAAAGTTTTACTGTTTATTTTACCGTTGGACATTAACTTTTAAAATACATAATATATTTGACCGTGTAAATATAACCATTACTTGGATTTTATCCTTGGTGTTCCTTACAAAGGAAGCTCATACTGAGAGAAGAAGAAGGAAACAGGGTAACAGGAGACTTTTTGTTATATTTGTACATTACAAGTAAATTATTTGAGTAGCTGTTAATTGTACAATAATTGGCTGATATCAGGATAAAAAACTACGCGTTTTTGTTTCTTTATAACATTTGGCTAATAGTGCAAAGACTGGTTGATTGTACTATCCAGTTTCAGTTTCATTATCTAGCCGTGATTTGAACACATCCATAAAAAGTAACCTCTCAATAAAATTAAAGATTTAATGTTATTCATTACAAGTTCTATAATTTACATGTGAAACGATCTTTAGGAACATGAAGAGATATTGTAAAAAGTAAAATCACAAAAATACTGAACTCCGAGGAAAATTCAAAAAGGAAAGTCCCCAATCAAATGGCAAAATCAAAAAAAAAAAAAAAAACACATCAAACGAATGAATAACAACTGTCATATTCCTGACTTGGTACTGCATTTTCTTATGTAGAAAATGGTGGATTAAACCTGGTTTTATAGCTAGCTAAACCTCTCACTTGTATGACAGTCGCATCAAATTGTATTATATTGACAACGATGCGTGAGCAAAACAAACAGACACAATAGGTAAAAATGTCAAAAATAGGGGTACAGCAGTCAACATTGTGTTATCATCTTAATCACTATAAAAACAAACAAATGTAACGAAGAAGCACAAAAAGGCATACATCAAATTTAACATCCTCATTTTGCTTATATTATACGATTTTATTTATCTATGTAAAATCCACCCATAAAGGATGGAAGGTTTTAAGTACTGGCGTAAAATCGCGCATTTGAAATTCACAAAGGTAGACATAAAATAATTTTGTCGTACAAAGTATGAGGGGATACATAAATACAGAGTCACGTAAAATGGATATAACAAAAAACAGACTTAACAGTAAAAGTAATATTAATAAATAAAATAAAATAATTGTGTGATACAAAGTATGACGATATACATAAGTACAGAGTCACGTCAAATGTATATCACAAAAAACAGACTCAACAGTAAAAGTAATATTAATAAATTGAATAATTTTGTCGTTCAAAGTATGACGGGATACATAAGCACAGAGTCACGTCAAATGGATATCTAAAAAAACAGACTTAACAGTAAAAGTAATATTAATAAAGATAAATAAAAGAATACTATAACACGTTATTAAGATGATAAACAACGTCAGTACGCAAAATCTATACTTCAAGACCATCGTGTATTATTTGTGAAGTTGATACGGAATATTTATCAACAAGTTCTTAATTGGTACCTTCCGATGAACTTTTTTAGAAAAAGGACGAGACGTTCTTTGACATACCCCTGGTTCGTCAACTTTTTGTTCAGACACTGGTGACGTTTTACAAAGTCTGAGTAGGAGCTGCAAGCTCTTGAATACCGAATAAGTTGGGAAATATATATCCCATATGCAGGTGAAGTTGGTATATTGCTACTAAGGTGGGGGAAATTGATAATTTCAAAATTAAAATCGTCTCGTTTGTCATAGATTATGGTACTGAGATGACTGTGACAAATTCGAGGTCTAAGTCTAAAAATGAGGCGGAGGAAGCCGTGTCTGTTGTTTCTTTAATTTCTAGTTCTGATGGATATATTAATGGAACCCAATCAGAAAAGTTCGGATTGTTAATGGAAAGAACATCATCAATATATATGAAAGTGAAATTAAATAACCTGGCTTCTTTGATCTTCTTGTTTTTGACAAGTGTCTGAAGGAACTCCGATTCATATGAAAATAAGAAGAGGTCGGCAAGGAGAGGCGCACAGTTCGTTCCCATAGGAATGCCGACAATTTGTTGAAAAAGTCTATCTCCAAATTCAACAAATATGTTGTCAATAAGAAACTCCAGCATACTGATCACTTGTTCCTCTGTGTAGCATGTTTTACCCTTTTGTTCACTATTAACAAAATATGCCTTATGGTATCCCAAAGTAATAAATTTTTAGCATATGCTACCATTTTTATGATGAAAAGCATTGTGGATTATTTCTTTTAGACGGTTTTTCAATTTCACATGGGGAATGGTGGTATACAAGGTTGAAAAATCAAAAGTTTTGATAGAACTAATTTCAGAAAAAGACCGAGATTTAAAATTATCCAGAAGTTCTTTAGAGTTTTTAAGAATCCACATATGGTTAATACCACTACGCGAGTAAACAGTTTCACAGTATTTGTGAAGACCCTCTTTCATTGCGGACAGAATTTTAGTCATCTAATGGACAATTCTTTAGTGGAACATGCAGATGAGCCGACAATGTACCGTTGTTTGTACGGAATTTTGTGAAGTTTAGGTATCCAATACAAACAAGGTAAGTCCTCCGCTTTGTTGTTCCATGCAATGTTCATTGAAGCCATGAAGGACTTATGATTCGCCAAAATCTCATCCTTGTCAAATGATATGTTTTTGTATGTGGGATTACCTGAGTGCTCATTTATTCCTAATTCTTTACATAATTAACCAAACGTATTTTCGAGACAATGTAATACATGTTCTCATGTTTTGTTTAAACGCCTGCAAAATTATAGTCACGTATGTCACCGACCAATAAATTTAAAGTAAGTAATGTATCCAAGATGACGGTCCTCATAAACGTACAGTGGGATGTCCAGTCCAAACACAATTTCTTTCGAATTATTCTTATACAGATAAATCTTATTCTTCCTTATTTACGATTTCTCCATATCCAGCATTACAAAATCCCTTTAATGCACGTTCCTTGATTGGAGAATAAATTTCTTTTCTATATTATTTTAACAATACATATATTGATTAGAAGATACGTAATACACAATTTTTGTGTTTGTAGATAAATCATGGAGAGAGTTGCAATAGTGGGGAGGTAAGGCCAGATCATTTTGTCATTTAAATGTTTATAAGAAAGAAAGAACTTTAAACACGACATCAAATATACTTTATGAAACCTTTTCTAAATCGTCCTGTTGACATGGGGATATCCAAGTGTTTGGAGATTGCTATGTTTTCTGTATCCTAAAAAATAACATTGCAATAACTCTTTGAAGTACATGTAGTACGTTATTACCTTTTGTAAAAGAAGTCCAAACATCCATACCTTTATCCTGATCCAACCACTTTGTAGACTTTATGCTAAAAAGATAACTTGAAACACACACCATCAGCGATATTATTTTTAATAAAGCGTATAATTATGATCCTTTATGAATAATTACATTTCCCATCTTTTATAATATATTTTTTTCCGAATAGCGCACACAACTGATATGAATAATGAATTTTATATATTGAAGTGGTCTGATTGGACGGAGCTGGGCCATGTTGTTTGCTGCTGCAGGATACAAAGTTAGAATATACGATATTGAACCAAAACAGATAACCGACGCACTTTCCAACATTCGCTCACAACTAGAACATTTGGAAGAAATTGGTTTGATGCGAGGACACTTGACTAAAGAGCAACAGTTTCAGGCTATAGAAGGAACAAATGATTTGAAATATTGTATAAAAGGAGCAATATATATACAGGTTTACTTATTTAGTGTTATATCTCGTCTCACTATTTTTAATATATACCACCTTTGATAAGTGTTTGGTATGACGATAAATTTTCACTTCTGTTCTCGTACTGTGAACAACAAAATTATTTATTTTGAAATAAATATTTCCGTACTCCATGTATACCTTACAACAAAATTATTTTTATTTACCTGTGTACGTTATTTTATTTGGCGGTAGTTTGTCCAAGGTTATGGTTGTCTTTCTGATATTGTTTTACATCTCACCCCTTTTTTTTATTAATTTTGTATTTACATTGTGTCATAGATCAAATTTATTCGTTCAGCGTGTGTTCACTTGTTTATGTTAATATGTTTTTTGATTGAGTTAAGCCGTTTCAATTGATATTTTATAGTGTGTATTTCTTTGTTGTGATGTTACACTATTGTTTCAGGTTAGGGTGAAGGTTGGCGCCTATTAAAACATTTAAACCCGCTGCATTTGTTTGCACCTGTCCTTAGTCAGGAACCTGATGTTCAGTGGTTGTCGTTTGTTGATGTGGTTCATAAGTGTTTCTCGTTTCTCGTTTTTTTTTATATAAATTAGACCGTTGGTTTTCCTGTTTGAATGGTTTTACACTAGTAATTGTTGGGGCCCTTTATAGCTTGCTGTTCGGTGTGAGCCAAGGCTCCGTGTTGAAAGCCGTACTTTGACCTATAATGGTTTACTTTTACAAATTGTGACTTGGATAGAGAGTTGTTTTATTGGCACTCATACCACATCTTCTTATATCTATATATATATTGCATAAAAAAAGCCAAATATTTACAGGTAACATGTATATACCAGATCTTCTTATATCTATATAGTTTTTTTTTCTTCTCGATGTCCTATGTTAAATTTCCCATACAATTATAATCGCTTTTCTTCACATATATTTCACGAACATTGATTAGTTGTGGTATATATAGCCAACCCAACTCTACTTTCTTAATTAAAATGACGAAAAAGTTTGGGATACTGATAGTAGCTCGTGGTTAGAAGATCTGATACCTACTGTCAGTGAATTGAGCTACAGAGTTTGTTTTTACAAAAAAATATCGTTTCACCAGAATGAACGTATTTATTTAAAGCGTAAATTTGGTCCATTTTTACTTTTTAAGGAAAATGTTCCAGAAATTTTAGAGTTGAAGAGAAGTGTTCATCAGAAGATCGATGCTATTATGGACCCTACGGCAATACTAACCTCTTCAGCCAGTACAATTGTACCTTCAGATCTGTGTAGCCACTTGAAAAACAGAAATAGGTTTATCGTTGCTCATCCTGTAAGTTTACTGGTTAGCCGATTTTATAATTTTTGCTTAATTGCTCGTTTACGTTTGACAAGTTCGGAATTACAAAACCGGTTCATGGTTTCAAGCAACAGTTTTCGGTATCGTGTAATTCTATTAACTTGCATTTTTTTTAAATTGATGTCAACTCTTGTTTTTCATTTTAGCATACCGTTTTTGAAAAAAAGTTAATAATCGTGAATAATGACAGGCATCAGTCTTTCTGTTAACGTGTAACAGCCAGATTTCAGCAAACGTAAATCGATGTCAAAATATTCGGGAAAAAAACGTTATACTGATTGTTTAAGTTAGATCATATTTTGTATGTAATCGAAATTAAACATTCTCAACTAGTTTTTTCCGATCGTTGTCAAACTTTTTGCAACAAGATGGCATTGGTATTATTTGTTTAAATAAGACAAAAAACGAAATATATAATTGTTGTTATAATGGCCGTTTTTGCTTGTCACATATAAGTGTTTAAGTGTTCATATTTCTGTGTATTGGCTTGAGTGTCCTTTAAGGACCTGCCCTTGGTGACTCCTGCATATGAACAACAATACTATTTGTTCATATGCATCAGCCACGAGGAAGGACTTGACTCAAAAGCTTTTTTTATAATGAATGCTATGCTGCTTCTGGTGCATGGTCAATAAACACTAAACATACTGGTTTATGTGACTACATGTATTATTAACTCAATTTATATTTCATGTTTTTTTCAGTTGTATTTCTTCTTTTTTTATTTTCTTGTGTATTGTCTTTTGCAACTGTGTGATATAAAAAATCAATGTACTGACTATGCCTATAATGGGTCCTCTATTGGAAATAAAATTTATCTTATCTTATCTTATAAGGGATTATATCGTAAGGGATTGGAAGATGTATATTGTCTAAGTCATAGCCATTACCAAATTCCGAACACTAAAACATGACCGAAGGGGAACATTTTAAATAATAGTTCGAAGCTAATAATAACAAATAGTACATATGATAGATGTAAACAACAGAGACGTTAAAAAATGTGTGAGTCTTTCAAAGGAAGATGTATATCGCCTGCCAACTTCAAGTAATTTTAGAAGGAAATGGACAAATCCAATTAGGTTTGTATGAGAAACATCAAAATCACTCAGATTAAAGGTAAATAGTTCAGGTGCACACATTTTCGTCTGTATAAGTTTGTTTGCATTTTTCCAAGCTGTTTTCAAGGAGTCGCGGATTAACATGATGTTTGACACTAAAGACGAAACAAGGCTACTGAAGTGATCCCTTTATGTGGAAAGCCAAAATATCACAAACAAGTAACGCAGCAACATGAAGAAAACCAACACAATTCCCATAAAAAAGTTTGGAAACTAATGTGTCCCGGAAGGGCACAAAAATCATCAAAGATACTAGGCTTATAGTTAATTAAGCCAGACGCTTTATTTTCGTTTTATATAAGAATTATTAGTGGCACTCGAATCGTGTCAGTTGGGAGGTCAAATCAATTAAGAAAATGAAGAGCATTGAAAACCAAACTGGTAAGCAGGTCCTGGTCCATTAGTGAGAATATATCGTTTTAATGTTGAATGACACAGTTAGTGAAAGTACTCTGAGCTTGCTTTAAAAACTTTCAGAATACTTCGTAATTTCATTTTATTATCTACATTCGTATGTAAAATTTATAATATACCTAATACTTTTCTGAACAGATTTTATGGGGTGCCTTTATACCATTTCAATTTTATTTCACCTATCATGGCAATATTGTATGAGTGTGCATTGAAAAAACGCTATTTAAATTACCTCCTTTAAAGTGCTTGTTGTAAGTCTGGTCTTTTGTCATTGCCGTTTTTTATGAAAAGATTTTGGAAGTACCATTTTAAATTTCTGTTCTCAGTTGATATACCAGAAAAAGTCCAATTGATCTTAAGGGTTGTACTACAATGAAAACGATTTTTCTATTTAATTCAATAGCTATCAAATGTTCAATCCTATTATATTAATGTTTATAACATGAAGAGATGCAAATATTTTGTAGACAAATCCGCCATTTTATGCTCCATTGGTAGAACTTGGACCTTCTCCATGGGCAGATCCAGATTTGTTGCCACAGACAACAGCTTTAATGAAAACGATTGGACAAAGTCCTGTTACTGTTAAAAAGGAAATATTGGGATATGTCCTCAATAGGATACAGTATGCTTTATTACGGGAATGCTTTAGTCTTATAAGAGTAAGTTCCCTTTATATAGTATATATTTCATTTTTATCATAATGTTTTCTCATATCTATATTATTTCGGACACATACCGCTTTATTTCAATATAAAACTAAGGAGATGGATATGATTGTTGCCAATGTTGCCAATGAGACAACAACTATAAATAAAGACCAAAAGGACATTCACAGGTCACCGTATGAATATATTATCTGTCTGGAATAACAAGCAGACAAAAAATAAGATTGTGAGTATACATTCAAAAATGAGAGAATGTGGTATAATTACTATAAAGACAACTATCCACCAAAGACTAAAGAACAAAACTGTGAAAAGTTACAGATAAACAACGGCAAAAACCCATACCGTATGGTAAGCCATAAAAGACCTCGGGATTTCAAAACCAAAAACCAACGGTCTGATTTTTACAGCGACGAACGAGTTTAGTTTTGTTCTGCGTCCAATGAAAATCGATATTCATATAATCTTGCTTTTTGGTTACACATATAAATAAACACGTATGTGATTATGTCTAGGTATGTCTTTATTGTCTAGCTTGAAGTGTTGGTTTGATTATTTTCCTATTGAAATGTATACCCATTTTATATGCTGCACAATTTCATGTTTTCAAAGATATGCATTTGAGGCTATGTATATATGAGCTACAGTTCCATATTTCTGATCAATTCTGTCTTTAAGACAAATAATAACTGGGAATGCATACCCCCGCTTGGTAAAACAAATTGTATAGTGACTGCTATGTCTGTTGTTAACGCGCCCATTCACACTTGGTATCAATATCTCCACAGTGACCGTTTGGATATTTCAGAATATTCAGAAAAAGTTTTTTGTGCTATTATTTCATTTGTTTTCATTCGAATGAATGTTTTGGAAACATTGACTTTGCAATATGTAGTCAAATACAGTACGAGGCTTATGCAATTGTTAGTGCTGCTTTTTTTCTAGTTGCTCCACCAGTCCGTCCATCTAGTTACTAAAAAGCAACACTAAATATTCTATAGATAACACAGGTATATAACAGAACTTGACACAACTACTTCACATCGTGGTAGTTATGAACCTAGCCTGTTATTGGTTTTTTTATGAGACTGATATTTTGGGTTTCAAATAGCAAAACATTGACTTCGCGTTTTCTACATATAGAGAAACTTTTTCAATGAACAAACTTACCACAAAAATATTCTAGTACCTGAACACTTATCCCACTCTGATGTATCTTCCACTGTCTGTGCTTAAAGCTACTGGTGATTAAACCAATTTTCTGCAGTACTACAAATACACTTTCATTAATTTGCATTGTAATTGTTATGTCCTTTAGGAAGATGTTGTAAGTGTCCAGGATTTGGACAAGGTAATGTCTGATGGACTAGGCCGCAGGTATGCATTTATTGGACCATTCGAAACTGCTTACTTGAATGCTGGCCCAGATGGTAATTTTGTTTTTAATAATGGTTACTAGTAATATATATGTTGAAGATACATCAAGATATATTTCAAAGAGTATACAAGTGTGGACACAGATCAGTGTGGATAGTATGTTTGGATGTTTGATAGTGTTTTCTGACAAAAAGAGTTCTCTGGTTTTCCCCATAGGGTTCTATGTTGAACTGTTGTGCCCAGTGACAGTCAACCTGTACCAAACACTGAAAATAGCAGTCTTATATTCAATATTGCATTTTACTGTTCAATATATATAAGAAGATGTGTTACGAGTGCCAATGAGACAACTCTCCATCCAAGTCACACTTTGTAAAAGTAAACCATTATCAGGTCAATCAAGACTGTCATGTAGGAGACACTACATTAAATCAGTGCTGACCGATTTTATTTAGCTAGACATTGCTTTTAATATCAAATCTACATATTGGCCAACGTGCTATGATTGCTTCCTGTATATAATATGTACATTCCTGTAAATAAATTTTGTGCATGTGCAACGTTACATTGGAGGATTTCCTTTCAACATTTTAACTTTGAAATAACTTCTATGTGAATACATTAACATTTTTATAAATGATCCGTTAAGGGAACACAGCTAGTTCAAAGAGTATATAATTATGTTCAAAATAAGCAAAATGCTGGTCTGTTAACGTATGGTAGCAATTTCTTATCTGTAAACGTATGGTAGAAATTTGATTCTCTATAAACGTATGGTTGATTTTTAATTCTTTGTAAACGTATGGTTGTGATTTATTGTCTGTAAACATATGGTATAGATTCGATTTTTGTAAAAGTATGGTAGGGATTGGATCGTCAGTAAACGTATGATAGAGATTTAATTGTTTGTAAACGTATGGTAGAGATTGGATCGTCAGAAACGTACGGTAGATATTTGATTATCTATAAACGTATGGAAGAGTTTGGATCGTCAGTGAACGTATGGTAGAGATTCGATTGTCTGTAAATGGATGGTAGCTATTTCATGCATGTAAACGTATGGTAGAGATTTTATTGTCTTTTTATGTGAGGTAGAGATTTGATGGTCTGTAAACGTATGTTGATGATTTCTTGTCTTTTAACATATGGTAGAGATTCGATTGTCCGTAAACGTACAGTAGAGATTTGATTATAAAAATAAGAAGATGTGGTATAATTGCCAATGAGATAACTCTCCACCAGAGACCAAATGACATAGAAGTTATCAACTATAGGTCACCGTACGGTCTTCAACAATGAACAAAAACCATACCGCATAGTCAGCTATAAAAGGCCCCGAAATGACAAATGTAAAACAATTAAAACGAGAAAACTAACGGCCTGATTTATGTACAAATAAATGAACGAAAAACAAAAATGATATACAGCAACAAACGACAATCACTAAATTACAGGCTTGGAACAGGTACATACAAAATGTGGCGGGGTTAAACTAGTTCGAAGACGCCAACCATCTCCCTGACCTGGGACACTGGTGTAACAATACAACATAAGAATAAACTATACAAATCAATTGAAAGAGGCTAAACTCATCAGATCGACACAAAGTAGAAATACAAAAACATAGATCGGACGTGACAGGGTACTATACATCCCTACAACAAAAAGGCACTAAGTACAGATCTGACAGTTATCGCAGTTACTGACAGCTAGTTAAAAACCAATAACAACTAATAAAAAAAGCACGCATCTAAGACTAAAATAACAATCAGTACACATCCAACATTCAATGGATTTAGTGTAAAGACGCCATTAACAGTCAGAGAAAAACATGAACTTGTGCAATGCCAAGACACAGGTATCGACAGATTGTAGAGCCATGGATGTGCATTTGTATATAAAAATGATATTTAGTTTGACTGTCTCTTAACGTATGGTAGATATTTTATTGTCTGTAAAAACGTATAGTAGAGATATGATTGTCCATAAACGTATGGTAGAGATTTTAGTGTGCATTACGGATAGTTACTGAACTGCTCGAGACAAGAACTTTGGAAGCTAAATAAATAAACCAGTAATCGATTTTTGTCGACTGGCATAAATAAGAATTGGTGGAGGTTTTATAAAGCTACGTCTGCTATTTCGCAGCGAAAAGTTGATTTATGTATCCAAACAGTATGATTACAAGTAACAAATGCAAAATTGATTTGGCCCTCTATTTTTTTTTATACGAGCGTCATTGATGAGTCTTTTGTAGACGAGACGCGCGTCTGGCGTACAAAATATTAATCCTGGTATCTTTGGTGAGTTTGTTTTACTGGTGTCAAAATACCTGTTAGATCTATGCATTGTCACAACGCCTGTTTAATTGTATACTTTCAATTACAACGTTTCATTCATGTGTTTGTTCATTTTTAATCAAATTTACATGTGTTACCTTATTATGTCCTCTATGTAGTTTTCACTTGTGAGTAAAGTATCTTTTTTTTTCGCAAACTTAAAGCATATTACATTGTCCTGTTTGTCGTTTAAAACTTTCAGTTTTCTAAACTGGTTTTGTAATTTATAGCTGCTTCTTATATTTAATCGTTGTGGATCCCCATAAGTAACTGAGCAGGTGATCTTTCCTGTTTTGCTCAACGTTGCCACAAATATGAACATATACAATTGACAATTGTTACATTATCAAATAAACAAAAAAAAAATCGTCGAGGAATTCCTTACTCTAAGTTTAAAAGGAATGAATCGTGAAATTTTGTCAGCAAATTGTTATCATTATACTCTTTGATTCCACTCTAACTCTGATTATATGGAATCTGTTTACGTATAAATTGGTGCACAACATACACTTCATTTCAAAAAATATTAACCTTTAAACCATTTATTGATTCCTTTTTGTAAACGAAACCATCTACCATTTTTATCTAATTATAAAAAAAAACACATTCACATATATATGTATATATAATGACCAAACCGTATTCTTTAGTGTGTGGTTTCAAACGTTCAGAAAACGGATTGCTTGTTCTTTGTTGCTTAGAAAAATAAAATCTTATATTTTTTATTATGATTTTAAATAAAGTTTGTAAAAGATAACTAATCCACGACATTTAAAACAGAAAGTACATCCCAACAGGATTCTATATAGAGATATTCATTTTAGGTATGATTGGTTGGGGTCGGAAATACGGTGCAGATATTTTGAGGGTGTGCCAGTCTTTTGGAGGCCCAGAACCCTTTGAAGGACCAACAGTCGATAAAATGCAAAGTGAAATGGTGAAATATTTACCTTTGGATAAACTGGACGAGAGAAGAAAATGGCGTGATGCGAGACTGTCAGCACTTGCAAAGCTAAAAGCTTCTTTTGATTCCGAAGAAGACAAAGATAATTGAGTGAAAAAAAATAATAAACCAAAATTTCATTGTTAGTGTACTAGTGCAAAGTATTTTCCCTTATTTTTTATGCCCCCGTCGTAGGCAATGGGGGCATTAAGTATTACCTTTGACCGTTCTTCCGTTCCATTTTTGTTTCCGCACTCTAATTTAAGTTTTCTTCATCCAAATTTTATGAAACTCAAACACAATGCTAAAAACCAAAACTTGCAGACAGAGTTTGAATTTTGGCAGTGAGTCACTTACCGTTATAGAGTAATGCTCCTTTATAACTTGGAACATTGCAATTTATTTCGTTTCCGCAATCTTACTTATGTTTTCCTCATCCAAAATTTTTGAAACTCATACACTATGCTAAGACCTAACATGCAGACAGGTTCCGAATTTAGGCTGTTAGTCACTTACCAATTAAAGTTATGCCCCTTTTTAACTGGAAAATGCTGCAAAATTTGTGTATTCGTGTCGTCAGACCCATTCTTCTTTTATTTACTTTATTTTCTCATGTCGCGTAGATGTATATGTTGTGTACAAGTTGTAACTTTGTACAAATTATAATTTGTATACAAAATAGCAATATTTTTAGAACCTCTAAACATGCTGATTGTGACTTTGAAAATTACAGTTGGCATATTTGCATGACTATATACTATATTCTTGAACACAACACGAAAACAAAGTTTTGACGCCAAATTAAGGACATTTAAATATGATCAAAAAGACGAAATAATTATGTTTTAAAAATATGCTTCTATCTGAAGATGTCGGATATCTTTTTGTCGAGCCTGCGACTTTTGTCGCAAAAGCGAGACATAGCGATCCTACATTCTGTCGTCGTCGTCATCTGCGGCGGCGTCCACAAATATTCACTCTGTGGTTAAAGTTTTTGAAATTTTAATAACTTTCTTAAACTATCCTAGATTTCTACCAAACTTGGACAGAAGCTTGTTTATGATCATAAGATAGTATCAAGAGGTAAATTTTGTAAAAAAAAGAATTGTGTTTATCCGTATTTTACTTATAAATGGACTTAGTTTTTTTGTCAGTTAACATTACATTCACTCTGTGGTTAAAGTTTTAAAAATCTTAATAACGTTCTTAAAATATCCTGAATTTCTACCAAACTTGGACAGAAGCTTGTTTATGATCATAAGATAGTATCCAGAAGTAAATTTTATAAGAAAACAAATCCTGTTTATCCGTATTTTACTTATAAATGGACTTAGTTTTTCTGCGAGTTAACATTACATTCACTCTGTGGATCAAGTTTTAAAAATTTAATAACTTTCTTAAACTATCCTGGATTTGTACCAAAACTTGGACAGAAGTTTGTTTATGATCAAAAGCTAGCTGTATCTAGAAGGAAATTTTGTAAAAAATTATTTCCTGTTTTTCCGTATATTACTTATAAATGGACTTAGTTTTTCTGCCAGTTAACATTACATACAATGTACAGTCTGCTGTTAAAGTTTTTAAAACATTTAATATATTCATAAACCATCCTGGATTTTTACCAAACTTGGACAGAAGCTTCTTACAATCAAAAGATAGTATCTAGAGGAACATTTTTAATAATTTTTTCCCCATTCAATAAATTTATGTTTCAACTCTTTTATAAATCTATAGATTTGATTGCATACTGTATTCATTTTTTACAAGCATAACCTTTTTCATACATTTCAAACGTTTTATTTCATGAACTGTGAATCTATCATGTGCATTCCCCTATCACACTGGAAACATAGACAACACCAAAAGTAGGCGAGACACTGGGTTCCGCGAAACCCTTACGAATTTTTTAAAGATAGTTCTTGTTTATAATAACATTATGAAGTATTTTAGGAACTTAAACTCTGGTAAAAGCATCAATAAAATGTAAAACATTAACAATTCGACTTTTAAAGCACTAACTTTCAAAAGGTTGCTCCAATTGATAACGGATTTTCCAAAAATTGTAACCAGCCAACTATTGTCAAGAAGACTATATTCAGTATACTACCAAACTACAACATAACCTGGCATTTTGTAAGATCAATGTATAATGGAGATAGCTGTTGAGTTTTATGAAAATCCAAGATGATTTGAAAAAGTTATAGAAATTTCAGTTTAAAGGTGACTATCTGATTTTAATCTGAACTGAAAATTCTTGATTTTTTTACCTATTAATTAAATCGTTAAATTTGACAGCAATAAACCAAAACTACCAAATAACCTGGCGTTTTGTAAGATCAATATATAATGGAGATAGCTCTAGAGTTTTATGAAAATCAAAGTTGATTTGAAAAAGTTATAGAAATATTTAAAGGTGACGATCTATAATTTATTTTGAACTGATAATTCTTAGATTTTTTTTACCTATTAATTAAATCGTTAAATTTGATAGAAGTGAACCAAACTACCAAATAACCTGGCATTTTGTAAGATCAATATATAATTGACATAGATGGGCTGATTCAGACCGATTCAAGACCAAATCTGAAGGTCAAGACTGGTCGAGCATTGGTCGAGACCATAAGATTATCAATCGAACTTATTAAGTAAAGTCTCGACCAAAATTAAGTACAGTCGAAATTATGTCGAGTCTTGTCAAGTAAAATCTGTGCGCGACCTTACTTACTGGTTGAGCACAAAATATGATCTTTTCAGACTTTTAGCAGTTTGTAGTGCATCAAGATGGCAACACACAGTTTTCTACAATAGACAGGTGTCCATAGAATGTGTCAAGCTTTCAAGCGCTTTGAGTTTATAAAGCTATGAATAAATTAAAACAGAAACAATTAAAGATAAGCTATCAACGACGAATTATCCAAATAACAAAAAACAAACAAACAAGAAGAAAATTTAAATGATATGAAATAAGATAACCACTGACAAGGTTGCTGCCGTGGTAGACGTATATTAGAAGTTATCCTAGTTCAATTGTAACCTTGGTATGATGTTGTGTATCGATCTAAGTTGTATATTCCAATTCAAAATTCTATAAAAACAGGATGTCAATTACTAATGGACTTTATAATAAATATAAAATTGAAAATGGAAATGGGGAATGTGTCAAAGAGACAACAACCCGACCATAGAACAGACAACAGCAGAAGGTCACTAACAGGTCTTCAATGCAGCGAGAAATTCCCGCACCCGGAGGCGACCTTCAGCTGGCCCCTAAACAAATATATATACTAGTTCAGTGATAATGAACGCCATACTAAACTCCAAATTGTACACAAGAAACTAAAATTAAAAATAATACAAGACTAACAAAGGCTAGAGGCTCCTGACTTGGGACAGGCGCAACAATGCGGCGGGGTTAAACATGTTTATGAGATCTGATAAACTATAAAGTATAAAGTTTTCAATACACACATTTGACTTGGGACAGGCGCAAAAATGCGGCGGGGTTAGTTTAAACAATATTTATTCAGATAAATCAACATTAAACGATATTATACAAATGAAATAATATTAAGGATTCAGAAACAAGCAATTTGCTTTTACAAATCTGTCTCCTTTTACAAAAAATAATACACTTATTGGACAATACATAAATATAAATACTGGCATGCTCTTTAATAAATATATAAATATGAAGAAGAAAAAAAATAATTAATTAATGAGAAAAAAAAAATAAATAAATAAACATGAATTATTGTAATGTATACAGTGTGAAATGCTTTGGTTCCTATTGAATGATGAAGCATTAACATCAAGGGTTAAAACGTTTACTTTTAATAATATATTTCTGCACCAAACTAAATAAAAGACTATTTTGCTCATCTGAGAGTACCGTTGATCCAAAAAGCAAAGTTTTTGTGTTAACTTGGACAGGAAGAACTGAAACAGAATCTAATAGTTCATGTCTTAAATCAGTGTATATGGGACAAGATAACAGGAAGTGAGAATTTGTTTCTACATCACCACACCGACAATTTGGAGAGTCTACTAAATTACGAACGAATAGGTGAGAATTCAATGAACTTGAATCCATTCTTAAGCGAGCATGAAGAATGTGACCAAAACGATGTCCTATATAATAATACGCTGGGACCTTACAATTTTGGGTACTAATTTGTTTTTTGAATAATGATACAGATTCACATTTTCTTATGTTTAAGTTAAGAGTGTTCCATAGTTTTGTTGTTGCTGGGATGAAATATTCAGAATATAAACGGGTCCGTGTGTTGACTTGTGTAATATTATTTCTTTGTCTTGTATTATGATCATGACTTCTTCCTACTGGATCGGGCAATAAGTCTCTTAAATACTCTGGGGTTTTATTATTCAAAATTTTGTGATAATGAATTAGCCTATGATTGCGTCGTCTTTCAGATAATTTTTCCCATCGAGTTTCAACATATAAATTGTTTATACTGGTAAGTTTAGTACCCCCAGTGACGATACGCGCTGCGTCAAGCTGAATATTTTCAAGTTTAGCAATCAAATTCTGATTTTGAGAGTCCCAAACGACATCGGCATATTCAAGAATTGGGCGAACAAATGATATGTAAATTTTTTCAAGTGTAAACCTATCAAGAACATTTTTCATTTTTCTCATTATATTTATTCTTTTGTAAGATTTAGAAACTATATATTTAATATGGTCGTTCCAGGATCCGTTGTTAGAAAAAAAGACACCTAGATGTTTGTGTTTACTTACTGTTTGTAGCTCTTGGGTATTCATATTTAATGGAGGATGAAAGGGTCTATTTATTTTTTTTTAAATTATCATACTTTCAGTTTTTTGGGCATTAAAATTCACAAGCCATTTTTTTGACCAATTATAAATCTTATCTAGATCGTTATTTAAAATTGTAGCTGTTTCTGTTGGATTGTCAACCATAATATACAATGAAGTGTCATCTGCGAATAGCTTAATTTGAGCTTGAATGTCTTCTATTATATCGTTTATAAATATCAAAAAAAAGGAGAGGGCCCAGAATGGACCCTTGTGGGACGCCTGCATTTACAGGTAACCATTCGGAACTTGAACCGTTAATAACCACCCGCTGGACTCTATTTGTAAGATAATTTTCAAACCACCTTAGTAAAGAACCCGATATGCGGGGTTAAACATGTTTATGAGATCTGATAAACTATAAACTATAAAGTTTTCAATACACACATTTCAGTTCTCATTGATCTATAAATCTTCAAAAATTGATAAATTAAAATCAGATTGTCCATTGAATTACGACGTTTTTCCGCGGAAGACATTTTTCAGTATAGAATACGAACTCGGACAATTGATTTAGAAATGTAAGCTCAATTAAGTAATTATAAGAGATGGATATCCATTAGGTCTGATATTAAAGTATTATAAACAACGCGAATGAAAACGTGAATAACCATGACAGCCAATCAGGTATTACGTGTTCAAAATTCTAAACAATATAATTTAAAAATCAAAGTAGAAGACCATTGTTTGTCCTTTTAATTTCAAAGTACTGTTAATGATAATTGATTAGCTGAAAACCATCATCCACTATAAAGGCTGGATTGTGAAATAAATAATAAAGCTGGAGACGTATAGACCAACTTTATTTTATTGATTGACAACAGTGTTAGAGTTCGCATAATAGAACGGAAAATATCCCGATTCTAAAATATCATTCATCATATCATTTACATTCTGTCAGAAGTTTAATGATTTGCTAAAGTTGTAAGCCATCGAACAACCCGAGACTATCCGAAAATAAGTACATGACGTTATACTTGTAACCTTAAATGGTCAGACGGTACCTACTTAACCCAAGAACCGTACTATACATACGTACTTGTTAACTTACTGGTTATTTGAGTAATGTATTGACAAGGTTCATTATTAAGTATTGCCAGGAGTTACCAAACCTAATTTAATCGGCATTCAGGATAATTGCCGTCATCGACAATATTGACAAATGACTGATCGTATGACTCAACGTGATGTGTGAGTTGTTCGAAGCCTTTACATGGAGTGAATATGAGTCAGATTTAGCAAAAATAGAGGAAAATGAAGTAGATGGTTATTTAACAGTTGATAAGATGGAAGACGAAAAGGATGAAGAGTGGGAAGTAATAGATGAATGCGTAGGTGATGAAGGTGATAATGTAAGCAGTACAAAAGATGACACAGGTACCAATATTATTGTATAAATTGGTGAATCATAGGAATCACGGAAAGAAACAAATGTAGAGTCTCGGTCTCCTGTTAAGGCTGTAACAACATCAAAATAACGTTTCGATAACTGGTAAAAAAAAACAAGGGGCTATTGATGCTACATAACTCACCAGATATTTAAGATTGCATGACAAAGAGGCGAAAGATACCAAAGGGACATTCAAACTCATAAGTAGAAAATAAACTGACAACGCCATGGCTAAAAAAAGATAAAGACAAACAGACAAACAACAGTACACAAAACACAACATAGAAAACTAAAGACTGAGCAACACGAACCCCTCCAAAAACTGGGGGTGATCTCAGGTTTATTTATTCATTACAAGTAATTTAATAAAATGAATCACTGGAACTTTTACAGACAAGGAAATTAGATGCATGCAATGTAATGCAGAAAATTACAGTGAAACACCTTGCTCGACGTTTATAGTCGACAATCTCATCATGTTATTTGTCTTATTCATCGCCAAATATATCACCACTTTATAAAAGCCTGTAAAGACTGAAGGAAGGTAACGACAATTAAAAAATTCTAGCAAACTCCTCAGCAACCATGGATTAAACGTCACAGTTGAAATACCGACTGAAGTACATAATTTTGAATTTATTGATACACATTTTCATTCGGACTTGTTATTAAGCAGATTAAATTGTCCTGCTAGAATTTTGAAAAAAAATATCTTCATCTGAGAACAAGTTCTTGTTTTGCATTGCCAACTATGTCTTCCCAAATAACTGAAAACTTTGGTTAGACCAACTCAATCAACTACCGTCCGTATTTTTCCACATATTGCTACTAGGGGTATATCTGAACGATTAAAATGAAATCTATTACCAATCCTGAATGTGTTGTTAATGGAGAAACCGGTTTAAAGTACACTACATCTTGTAAATCAAGAGAGATGTATGGACAAAATTAGAGCTAACCAGGAATGCAGTTTTAAATTTCATTAACAGTTGGCAGATCACAAGGGTTTGCCAGATGTTACTAGTATTCATAGTACGGATAATGGAAATGGCTAAGCTGCAAAAAAGAATTCTAGCACATATACGTCAACATAACTTCACACATCTTTCTTTACACCGACATTGTTTTTGGGGAAATTGGAGTGGATTTGAAGAATGGCGAAAACTACCCCGTTTTATCTTTGGAATTCTGAAACAAATTGCATTTCTAACAACGAATTTATAAAAGGAATAGTTTCTATAATTCCTGACCATCAACTTGTTTTTGAAACATATGACTCCTTTCTTGTTCCTTTTACTGTGACCCCAGTAAATCATCTATGGAATATGATAGAAGTAGCTCAGATGGTTTCAATGCCATCAACAACAATGCCAGATAAATTTTTTTTATAAAATTTAGAGATTTGATATATACATATTGCTGTGTTCCTGGTAGTTCCTAGATTATTCTTGACATTGATTGGGTGGTATTTCCATTCATTTTAATTGACTGTTAATACCTTGAGAGGCTTCACACCCCTTGTAATTAAGTTCTTAGACAAGTTAGTGCTTTGTTTTTATTGATTGTAATTGCCTTTTGAGGCTGTATGCTTCTTGGGTTTTAAGACAAGATAATGCTGGTCTTGAGTAGTTTGTATAATACACATAGTTGTTGTGGTGATATAAATAAACTCATCATAGATACCAGGATTGAAATTTTGTATTTGCGCCAGACGCGCGTTTCGTCTACAAAAGACTCATCAGTGACGCTAGAATCAAAAAAGGTTAAAAAGGCCAAATAAAGTACGAAGTTAAAGAGCATTGAGGATCAAATTTACTTTCCAGTTCTAACAATAGAACATATTTTTTATTTTACATAGTATTGCATATTTCATGTTTTTTTGTTGTATTTTTCATACATTTATCACTTTTATGAGGTATTACTAGTATTATAATGAGCATCGATAATTTGGGTTTTCGATATACCTTTTCAGTTCATTTTGTTGCACTTTTAATGTGTTTGATGTCAAACTTGACATGTTTTATATTTTTATTTGAAGCTGATGTCCAAATTTTACAGAAGAAGAAAATCAGGATAATATGTCGTATATTTCTCTATAAAGGGTCCTCGGTGGCCAAGTGGTCTAAGTAGTCGAACTTCTGTATCACTAGCCTGTCAACCCTGAGGTTTTGAGTTCGACTTTGCACGTCACAGGTGCGCTCGACTCCAATTTTAATCGACTATCCTAGTCAGTTTTCCTACCGAAGGTAAGTGGTTCTCTCCGGACACTCTGGCTTCCTCCACCAATAAAAACTGACTGCCACAAAAAGCACAATAGTGCTGAAAGTGGCGTTAAACACAAATCAATTAATCAATCATTACCTTATAAAAATATATTTTTTTAATTATAAAGTCACAGTGCATTTGTTATGTGCATTTATGTTGTTCAATATTGGTAGATTTCTTTTGATTTTCTTTGTTTTGGGTTTTTAGTGGAAGTATTTTAATTTAATGAAATCAGCCATAGGACTATACATCACATATTCTTTCATAACAGTATACATACGGATAATATTATACAGTTTAACACTCAACTATATTATGAACTAACTTACTCAATATCATACATATGGACAATAAGAATTGTTTGAATTAACATGAAATGAGAGCTATTTATCAACTTTTGAATCACTGTTATTTTGGAGATATACACTGTTTAACAGGAAGAGGACGAATGTTGTGACAACACTAGTGTTATAGTCACCAAACAGCCCGATAATGTCCGAAAATAAGTACATGACGTATTAATTGTAAACCCAAATGGTCATACAATACCATAGTACACAAACGTGTTTGTTAAACTACTGGTTATTTGAATGCTGGAGTTGTTCAATGTACTGACATGAGTGACCAAGTCTGTCTGTATCTATTTACTCAGTATTTACTATACTAATGTAAATTATCAGGTACGCATGCTGGTAATTTTAAATATATTTCCAATTATTGATGGGTAATACTTGTGGTTATTTTCTCCATTTTTAAATTTAAAAATCAGTGCAATTCTTTTTCTGTTTTGCTTAAATGGCGAAGAAAAACAAAAATATAGTGTCCTAGGACGATTCACTAATTACTTTTAATTAGATTTTCTAGATCAAGTTTCAATGATTGTTCATATGGGTATTGAACTTCACTAGGATTACCTATCTTGTCTACATGTCCTTCGATATTTATCCTGGATGATAGGAAATTCGCAAAGGTTGTTCTTTGTGGGATTTTTATTTACATGTCCTTTCAGCATATTCATGGCCACTAATAGCTCTATCGCATTCATCTGTAAACCATTGTTTGCTTAAATGATTCTGATCCTAAAATTTAGGATTGTTCTTTCAGCGATGATTGTGAAGGTAGTATTCAATGAACAAATAAAATTCTTACTATAGACCGAAGCTCTTTTCGACAAAGATACTCATATAGAGGCCAGGATAAAATCTGCTTTTCCTAGTTATAAACAAGTAGATCTAGCTGATCGGGAACCGTGATAATGGATAACTGGACAAAAGTCACTACCATATACGAATCTTTTTTTTTTGTCTTTATCCTTTTGAAATTACGTTGCCATATGGGCATTTAGCTCATCATTGTTTATAACAGCGGGGGAGTCATTCTTAAATTTTCTTTTCACTGAGCTATATCAAGAGAAAAATGACATTGACGTTATGAGATTATAATGCACGGATAATAAATTTCTCCACTGAATCGAAAATAAGTTATAACACTATTGGTAATAAACAGTTTTAGGTTGGGTATCGTATTTAAAAAAAAAGATATTTGAACATTCTCAAACGGCAGGTGGTGGGGATGGCCCTCTGGTCTTCACCCTTTACGTCATTTAATTTATCTTGACATGTGAGACAAGAAATATAAGGTTAAGGGACGGGGATCTCGGCCATTTTAAAGAGGTTTAACAATCTAAAATAGCAAAAGGTGGATATGACCCTCTGGGTATCACTTTGTATGTCATCCAATTAATCTTGACAGACATAAACAAGAAAGTTTATGAACCATTTTCAAGATATTTGAAATCATATTCGTGGACTTATCATGCATTTCATTTGATATTTCCTCTTATGTAGAACATTTTCCATTTATTATACTCACCATTTCTAATACGGTTTTGTCCTTTAAAAAGTGTTTAAGGTCATAAGTCACTGGGTCATATTGTCAAATGATTATTACTGAAGACATCATGTCCCTATCACTTTCTGTCACAATTTAAACATGACACCAACTTTTGGTTTTTATAGTAAACCCCACCCTTATGTTACTCCAAACTATTCCTTAATTAATCCCCTTGCACATTTAAAATACTTTATTACTTTAAGTACAACTAGATATGTAAGCAACATACGGTAAAACCTTAATTTCATCTGTGGTTTCTTAGACCTGCCGCGGACAAGTTCAAGTGCAAGAAATACATAAGAAGGAGACAAACACCACGTCTCCAAATCTTGTTTGGGAGCATTCAATAAAACAACTTAATAAATAATCAAATCTTAGAATCTGAACTAACTATCAAATTAAGATCTCCTATATGTATTTCGCACTCGGGTCTTACCGATAATATTATTTTAAAGTTAACAAGTTGATAATTGTCTTCAGATCTTTCTATTGTGCTCAATAACATTAATGGTATCAATTTTACTGTTGCTGTTCAATCACTACGTCTGGCATATTTTGGAATAATCATCTATTGGCATATTCAAAGTTTGAATCAATTTTGAAATGGTATTGTTTTATTTTTTGTGCATTGAAATTCTTTGCTGTTCGTATTTGGCACTGCACAAGGTCGTTTCCTTCACACTATATATGACTTTTCTATAAAAACATTTACTACTTAAGTAAATAAAACGATATTTGAATGTAGGACAGCATTGTTTTATATCAGCAGGTTAATTACTTTTAGCTTTCCTTTGCTGCGAACAATCTTTGATACTATTATTCATTACTTTTGTACTTGTCATTTCTCATCTACTAAATTTTTTTGTAGAGGTAAGTTCTTTTCAACTGAAATGATATTTGTTGAATGTTCTTTTATTCACCTTTTGTTCGCTGAACTAGATGTGTTCGTTTACTTGTTCAAAGTCAGGAACCCCTCGTCAGTGGTTTCTGATGTCATATTTTAATGTTTTTCTTATTGTTATTTACAGTTTTTGTATTAACGGCTCAATCTTCCCTAATTCCTGTTAAATTTATTCACAACTGTTCTAGACTCCTGACGATCAAGACATTGACATATTGGATAGATCCCTGCATTTATTGTTGAAGACTGTATGTCTTCTGTTCATTTGTGTCCTAGGGTCCAATTGATGGACATCCTACATCTAATATTCATATATATTTATGACTTCTACTACTCTTTTTCACGGTCATATTTTTCCAATAGAATTCGTTTTCCGAGATAAAAACAATCCCACTTTATTTCCTTATATATCATGCCATTTTCGAAATATTTTTAATAGCTAAGTTCAAAATGTAGATGCAGATGTAAAATCTATATGGTTTATTTAACATTTTTGATTATCGTCTGTAATAGTCACGAGATAAAACCAAACAGAAGGATAGGCAGTATAATTAAAGTAACTCACTCAGTATTTGCTTTTCATCTTCAATTTTAATAAACATCAAACAATTATCAGAAACTTTTAGTAATATCAATTATCGAATAATCTCTGGTACAAAAGCAAACTTTTTTCTCAGAATTATGTAGTTTACATGAATGTGTTGTTCCTGTAGGATACATATCGACATAATATGAGCACCGAAAATAAGAACATATCTACATCCAATACAGAACCGTTACATAATATTGGTGATCTGTGGAATGAATTCAGTCAGAATACTGGATTTCATGGAGTAAATAAATTGTCTGGAATAACAAACAGACACAAAATAAGATTGTGAGTATCAACTTTATTTGAACGTATATTATTTTTTCAATCACTTGTCGGTCATTTAATTTAGCTTCTAAACTGTTTTCAAACTTTTGTTAGAATTGTGTGAGAGGAAAACACAGTCAGACTTGACTAGTTGACCTCTAAAATAAAATAAAAATACCCATGTATTTTAAACACTTTTACACCATTTAAAATTTCAGAACATTAAATATAATGTCTTGCAACTAAATTTCAATTTGTTCGTTTTCTGGTTTCAGGTTATTATGGACCTGTGTTATATTATCATGTGGTCTATACCTTATAGTAACGGTGGTGGAGGAGATAAAAAAATACTATAGATATCCAACAACAATGACACAGTATACCAAACCTCAAAATGAAATAGAGTTTCCATCAGTGACAGTTTGCAATTTAAACTCACTAAACAAAAGTGCAATCAAAAACGATTCAATGATAGATAATTATTACTCTAGCATAAGTCCCTTCGCTGTTTACTCAAATGTTACGACAAACTGGAGCGATCCGATTTTTGAACAAGAAGGGTTTTACCTGAACCGAACATTAGAAGATGTTATGACAGATCAAAAAGATATTCTTGACCCTGGTGGAATTTTGTTATATGCAAGTTTTCATTTGAATAATTTAGATATCAAGAAATACTTCAAAGTTAAATTGACCCCAAGTGGAGCATGTTTTACATCAAATCCTGATATGAAAATAAAAACGAACCACGTAGGATCAGTCTTTCATTTGACATTAATGATTGATTTGGACCGTGCAAATAACTACTACGGCACCTTGTTCGGCGAAGGACTTCAGGTATTTGTTTTCCTATATACAATCAACAACACCTAGTTTATTTAGACTTACTTCAAAGGCACAAAAATGTCCATTAATATTGAAGTTAATCATTGGAAAATATTAGCGTCAATGATACAATTGTTTCATAAATACTTAATGTCTCGAGGGAAATTACAGGGTAGAAAAAATATATGATACTTCGGTACTGACGTGATTTATAACAAACCTTTCTAAAATTATCCGTTTATAAATTTTGAAATTATAAAGAAACTTAGGTTTCATTTTTGATACGACGATTATTGTAAATCCGTTATAAGGGTGTCTTCAATTCTATATTTATAAATCATGACTCGGTAAATGCATAGTATGATTGTTTTACTCTACAAGAAAGTGTATCGCGGAGTTCATTTGAATTTTCAGCTTAAAAGTTAAAGTAAAATATTTAATACAAATTTTTCCACCCTTGACTATGCGACTGTCATACAAGTGAGTTTAGCTAGCTATAAAACCAGGTTAAATCCACCATTTTCTACATAAGGAGATTTCTGTACCAAGTTGGAATATGACAGTTGTTTTCCATTCGTTTGATGTGTTTGAGTTTTTGATTTTGCCATTTGATAAAGGACTTTCCGTTTTCAATTTTCCTTGGAGTTGGGTATTTTTGTTACTTCACTTTTTTCTAGATCTATATTCAAGCATTGTTTTTACTCAATATCTGAAGTACCACTTATAGTAAATTAAATACTTACTAAAATTGTTCACAACTGACAGAAAGTTTGCTGTCGTTGCGAAAAAAAATGTTTTTACAACTTGATATGTGACAACTTATGACAGACGATCTCCATGGGATACATCATATACTTTGTTACAATCTTTGATAAACCCGACGAGGACAGGCATTTCTCGACTAACGAAAGCTATATAAATATAGACTAGCCAGCATTGTTCGCTGAACACAGAGCAGGCGTAGTAGCATAGGTTAAAATCCCACTTAAAGAAAAAATGTAAATTTAATACCATGCTCCGCGCACTTTTGCATTTCTATATTCAAAGAACTGCTAAATCTAGGTCGAAACCCTAATTTGGCATATATTTCTAAAAAAAGCAAACACCAAAATGAGGATGTGTACTCATGTTCAAATTGACGTAATAACAACTTCATGATAAACAACCTGAACCTAAAATTTTGACCGTATACACACTGTCACATTTCCATGCTCAGTTAACCCTGAAACTAGTTTCAAATTAATGTAACCACATTTTCATGGTTAATAACGTGGACCAAAAATTTAAAACTGATATTGGATGTACGCACTGACCAGAAAACATAATACCTCACTCCACTAGCTTTCGTAGGCGGGGCATAACATTTTATCTCAATTATAAGTAGACTGGCATTAAGCACGGTGACTTCCTACTGGCACTGGAAAAAGGGTTTGTAAGATAGTCACAAAGTTGCCTTGCAGCAGGTCGCCTCACCTCAAAATGCAAAGGTCTGATTCCTTGTCCAGATTTTGTTATACTTAAGGTCCTTTTTGGTTTGATCATCTCTTCAACGCTTTTTATTATCGGCCTTGATCATCACCGAAGAGGCATTAATTATCGAAATGCGAATCTGATGCAGTTAAATTGTAACCGTTATTGTTATTGCAACAACATTTAGAGGGGTGCGTAGATTAGAAAACATGTAACCTATCATGCTGACCGACTAAAACGTTGAGGTAGAGAGATAAGATAGTGAAATCTGAAATATAAGGTATAGATATGCCAAAAAGTAAATACTAAATTCTATATTAAATTTTTCTCAGTTCTTAGTTCATGATTCGAACAAAGATCCTATTTTCCAAGGAATAAGTGGTTTTTATGTTGAACCAGGAAGAGAAGTTTTTGCTTCAGTGCATAAAAAACAGGTAAATACATTTGTAAAAGAGAGGCGAAGGATACCAAAGGGACATTCAAACTCATAAGTCGAAAATAAAACTGACAAACCATAGCTAAATAAAAAAAAAGACAGACAAACAAACAACAGTATACAAAACACAAAATAGAAAACAAAAGACTGAACAACACGAACCCCACCAAAAACTGGGGGTGATCTCAGGTGAACCGGAAGAATAAGCAGATCCTGCTCCACATGTGTCACCCGTCGTGTTGCTCATGCCAGTACAAACCCGATGATATGTCTAATTCGACAGGTTACATTCGAGGGAAAGGGAACGAGACAGTAGTTACGACAATTGGAACATATCCGTCTTCATATGTGAAACAGATATTCCATAACAATCAACCAACTCGTGATGGTGTCCGTAAAATTTAGGAAGTGATAATTTCAACTTCACCACTTTGAACTTTTGGTTTAATAGCTTCCTGGTGAGCAGCAACCTTCTATCAAGAAAATCATGATAGGAAATACAAGCCCGGGAATATCGTATCAACTGGGAGATATATACTCCGTATGCAGACGCTGCTGGAATGTTGCTAAATAGAAATGGAAAGTTCACAATTGGAAAGCTGAAATTGATCTCTTTTGTCGTAAAGTTTTGTTTTCAACCAAACCTTATTGTCAATTTCTAGATATAAGTGAAGATATGTGGCAGATTTAACTGTATCTGTTGTATCCTTTATCTCAAGTTCGATGGCTAGAGGCGTTCAGCATAGTCACCGCATTTTGAATTATTTAGTGATAGAACATCATCTATATAGTGGAAAGTGAAGTTAAAGGATACTTCTTTTCTTTCTTCCTAAGAAGTTAAAAGTATTTTAATGGTAATGGTTTAAATTTAATTTCAATGATGAATCATGTCTTAGCTCTTCAACTGTTTTGGTATTTATACATCCCTCGGATTTCAAATATTTGACTATGAGCGTTCCTGATGAAGGTAAATCCAGAAAAGCGCTTCGGACGCATGAAATTATTAAACGTGTTGTTTTCACTTTCTTACCATATTACATCTGCATGGATACAAGTTTATTTTTTTTACCACTCAATTGGTAAAAAATTGTATAAAAATTAAAACAAAATATCCTTATTTCAATAAGTTTAATCTACAAAAGATCACTATATAAACACATTTACAATCAAATATCTCTGTATCGCAATGTTGATGTAAAGTTTTCGTTGCCTTAACTAATAGCAACACCATAATTGTTTTCTTGTTTTGAATATTAGATTATTTTTAAGATTTTTTATGATTGCCTATTTTAGTTTGAGTATTTGCCGATGCCCTATGAAGCAATGGGGAATATGTTTTGCAGAGATCGCACGAAAGACGACGGTTCTGAATACTATAGAAGCTCTTGTTACAAGGATTGTTTATCAACTTTTCTTTTAGACAGATGTAATTGTCTCCCTTACACACATAACAGTAAGTTGACAGAAATAATTAACTCGAAAAGAAATATTCGGGGATGAACCAGATGAGACAGAACATATATCAACTTAAATTTCTCATCTGTTGCTGTAAGGGTTCGTGTCATAATTACCGGTACCATTTAATGATTCGACCAAAACTATATTAATTTGACTAGACAGTTACCGCATATACGCGAATGGTTTTAATTGCAAATACTTTGAATAGATAATAATCAACAAGGAGTATTGCGATATCATCTTTTGAGATGGGCTAATAAAAGCGCGGTAGTATCAGCATAATAACCACAACTAAAAGGAAAAAAAAAGGAAACCATTACATGATTACGTTATATATAGCGTATCACATGACTTTGTCAACATATATTCGTTGCACCGAACAGAAGTTCCCCTGGAAACTTTGTTATAAACAATGTCATTATATCTACTCCTGTTGGAACAAATATTCTTAACATTTATTCCGTTAGGAATAAATACTGTATATTCTATAACATTTCTTCCCTTTGGAACTAATATTATGAGGAACTTATATTTAGGGACACTTTTTAATTGTCAATTGTTAAAACTACAAACCTTACTCTGTAACACCTGGAACATTTAATTATGTATTATAATTGATTAAATAGAATTCAAAGAAAATAAGAACTCAGATATTGTCAGAAAAGAGAATGTTTTCGTAGTTGTGGTTTCAATAGAAAAAAACTGCCATTTCCAGTAAAGCATTTTAATCTCATACAAAATAATCGAGTTCGTCTTTTTTAGAAGTACAGATATTGGAGATGTAAAACAATTTTACTAGTTTATACGTAAAAAGAACATATAACGGTATAACGTCTATGTTTTCTCGTTTGAATAATTTAATATTTTGTAATTGTACTTGAAATAGGAAAAGTATTGATAAAATATGTGCACTTCGTTGTAGATACATATTACTGCTCTAAGTTTAAAGTGGCTAGCTGTATTATGAAAGCAATAGGTAAAGTATGTCTTCCTATTCTCAAATTTATATGTACACGTTGCTCTAGATATTTTACCGTGGACTCATTGTCTAATAAAAAAGAATAAAATATAGAGATGAAGTTCAAGACATCTTGTGTGAATATAGTTATGAACAAGATTGTACACGATTTCTTTTCTGTGATGTAATACCGGTATTGCATCCTTTCATCATACAATACCAAGTGTAAAAACAGTTATTAACTGATAGAAATCTTAACGTTAACCACACTAGGCTAAAATGGACATAGACATTGATAGAACTTAAACAATTTATCGGATTGGAAACAGAAAACATAGTTATTACCTTAACGTATGGATTGTTTTGTAATAGCCTTCATGCAAAAATCATTCAAATCCGTCTGTAGCATTATTTTTCATCACTTGGTATTTATCATAGGACGCAAACTTTAAACCTGAATCTAAAACTTCAGACTTGTTCTAGATTGATTGCTTACTGTTCGCAAATTTCATGTGTAATAAGGAAAAGAACTAAAATTAACAGTAAACCCATTAGGTAGAATTGTTGTTCGCCACTGAAAAACGAGGGTGTGTATATTAATGGTAAATGTATTGCCGTGTTACGGCAACCGACTGATCCATCGAAAGCTGTTACAAGAATTTTTAACTGAAAACGTGACACTCTCCCTTTGCGAGACATTGGATTTAGTTTACCCATTCCGATTTGACGTGGCAGCGTATTTACGCCTGGGTTTTACTGCCGGATGGGAGAAGTTGGAGTAAAAAAGGTAGACTTGATCTTGACGAATGATACTAGTACTTATCATGCCATTACTACATAAAAACAAACAACCCACTTCAGTACTTTTAGAGAAGACACATTCTCTGTTTAGAAAGTAAAGGATAACGGTTGTTGACAGATATAAGCTTTGTCGTATTTTTAGAGAATCAAACCTGAATGTAACAAACTGAGCTGTGTTTTTCGGCAGATTTTTGGGTCTTCAATGCTTCGATCTTTATTTGGCCTTTTTAACATTTTTGATTCTAGCGTCAGTGGTGAGTCTTTTGTAGGCGAAACGCACGTCTAGTGTACAAAATTTTAAGCCTGGTATCTAAAATGAGTTTATTAATATATTTTTTAATAAGATCAACATATGGTATCTAATGCAGTGGTATGCATTCTAATCTAAATAGTCGCACTTGTATTACAAAATTATGGTGTAATTCCCTTCCAATTATAATGGCATTTTTTCTTTAGTTGATCAATGATCAAAAATAAAGGCAACAGAAGTATACCGGTGTTTAAAAGTCATAAATCGATTGAGAGAAAACAAATCCGGGTTACAAACTACAACCGAGGGAAACACATCAACTATAAGAGGAAAACAAAGGAACAACAGGAACACTGAAGTGCAACAAAAACAAACTCCAACATACATAGAAACGAAATATTTGATAACAACTGCCATATTCCTGACTTGGTACAGGACATTTTAAGAAAAAATGGTGGGTTGAACCTAATTTTAAGGCTAGCCAAACTTCCCGCTTATATGACAATGTTAAAAAATATCGCTAAAATGACAACACTACGTGACAGAAATACAGCACAAACACACGCAAAATACTCATCAAAGTAAACGCACAAACAAACAATATAATAGTCGACACAAAATACATGCTTTTGATAATAAGTGTTTGGTATTACTATAAATTTTCACTTCGTACTATGAACATCAAAATTATTTATTTTGAAAAAATATTTCCTTTCTCTATTGGAACTGTACACGTATACCTAACAACAAAATTATTTTCATTTACCTGTGTTTAAAATAATTGCAAATGGCTGATATTTTTGTTCGAGCATATTGTTTTTCTTAAATTATTTAACATTTCATACCGATATAACATGTTACTTTTATTATTCTTCCCTTAGTTTATTTATTTTGAATTTGCATTGTATCATAGGTCAAATTTATTTGTTCATTGTATGTTCATTGGTGTTAATATGTCCTTTGATTGAGTTAAGCTATTTCAATTGATATTTTATAGTGTGTCTTTCTATGTTGTGATGTTTCACTATTGTTTCAGAAAAAGGGTGAAGGTTTGGTACCATTAAAACATTTAAACCCGCTGCATTTGTTTGCACCTGTCCTAAGTCAGGAATCTGATGTTCAGTAGTTGTCGTTTGTTGATGTGGTTCATAAGTGTTTCTCGTTTCTTGTTTTTTTATATAGATTAGACTGTTGGTTTTCCCGTTTGAATGGTTTTACACTAGTAATTTTTGGGGCCCTTTATAGCTTACTGTTCGGTATGAGCCAAGGCTCCGTGTTGAAGACCGTAATTTGACCTATAATGGTTTACTTTTTAAAATTTTGACTTGGATGGAGAGTTGTCTCATTGGCACTCATACCACATCTTCTTATATCTACAACATGCAAACTGCAGATCAAGAACGAACATCTTCCATCAACGACAGACACCACAGGACATCACAAACAGTGACGCACTTACGTACGAACATTCAATCTCGAACTTTATACAATTATTTTCACAATATCAGTCCAAACAATTTTCATGACAATGATGGTATTGAAAGGCTGTTTTAATAATTTTATTTGGACTACAAACGATAAGACATAACACATTATCCAACCGAAACCACAGCAGAAACATCAAAAATAAATACATGAATGTTGGATGTACAAAATACCGAGACACGTCGTATAGCAATGCAAATTCACACGCGGTATTACAGTCATATTCGGGTATAGGTCACGTTCGGCACTTAGCAGACAGACGACATAGATGTTAAACCACAATCTAAGACATGGTAAAAATATCATTAGTTAGTTTAGACACAGACACATCGTATAGATCAACCAATTCGTAATGGTGTCCATAAAATTTACGGAGTGTCATTTTTAATCTTTCCTCCTCATAACTCTGTTGGAGCAGTTTCAGCGTAAGGAGCACACTCCTTTATATGAAGTCAGTATAGTGTGAACGTGCACGAGCATAACGTATCAATTGAGATATGTAAATACCATACGACGGAGCAGAGGGTATGTTACTTCTGAGAAATGGGAAATTGATAATTGGGAAGTTGAAATCATCCCGTTTGTCATAGATTTTAGTGTGAAGTCGTCCATCTGTGTCAATATTAAGGAAAAGATCAAGGTATGAAGCAGTCCTTCTTGTATCAGTAGTATCCTTAATTTCAAGTTCACTGGGATATATGAGATGCAAGTACTGACTGAAATATGGGTTATTCAGTGATAGGACATCATCAATATATCTGAAAGTAAAATTAAAGAATTTTGCAAGGTGCTTTTTCTTTTTGTCTTTTAGAAGGTTCTGAATGAATTCTGCTTCATACGAGTACAAAAACAAGTCGGACATAAGGAGTGCACAATTAGTACCCATTTGGAATACCGACTGTCTCTTGAAATAAAAATCCTCCAATTTCAACAAATATTTTGTCGATTAAAAAGTCCAGCATTTTGATAATATCATCTTCACTGTATTTTCTGATAGAATCAGGGTGGTTCTTCACAAAATAAGGATTATTATAACCCAAAACAAGAAATTTATATCTACGATTCCCATTTTAATAGAAAACGCTCTGTCTAATGAGATTGTGAAGTCGATCTTTCAATTGAGCATAGAAAATAGTATTGTAAAGCGTAGAAAAAATCAAAGGTCTTAATGTTGCTGCAAAATTGCAGAGATTGTGATCTAAGATTTAGCAGTAGATCTTTAGAATTTTTGAGAATCCACATCTGATTGACACCACTGGTTGAATATATCTCATCACAATATTTTTGAAGGCCATCTTTTACTGTAGAAAGAATAGTAGTCAACACTTTAGAAAGATGTTTAGTCGAACATCTTGATGATCCAGCTATGTATCGTTCTTTATACGGAGTTTTGTGAAGTTTTGGTATCCAGTATAATGCCGGTAGATTTTCTTCGTTTTCTTTGATGGGCGTTGTATCACCTACGATCCTGTGTGTTATATATTGAACATTATAATAGATAGTTATTTCTATTTCTATTCATTTCTTAAGGAGACTACTACAACCAAACAAAGCTAGTTGATAAGTGTGATTGTCCATTGCCGTGTAAATATACACATTATGATGTGTCATTGACGTCATCACTATTTCCATCGGATTTCTACAGTAAAAAGATATTTGATGTCATTGGAGTAGTAGATTTGGATTACTACAGGTACACATAACGAGATTTTTTGCATTTATTTAAGTTGTGTTGACAACAGTCGTGTTTAGACAACGATATTAAAGTTGTCTGTGTTGTTTTAATCAACTCACAATTCTGTATATGTACGCTTTTTTGTAACATTGAATTCAGGATTTTGGAATATAGCCAATTAAAATTTTTATCAACTACACAATAGATAACCCACATCTCTTTGGGCTTTTGCCTACCAAAGAAAACATCAGCGAATGCCAGTAGGGGTAAATAGACGAGTTAGAAATTCTCATTACGAAATTTGTAGCAGCATATAAGCTGAATTTATTTATTACAATGGATTCTCAATTTTTTTGATAATGGCTTAGGCTACTACAAGGTCGAACATAAGTTTGTAAAATATATTCAGAATAATATATTGTCTTTTCAGAATCATAATAGTCGACATTTATAATGAATATCCTTGCGCTTTCAAAGTATTCAAAGATATAAATAGGTAATAGTTAAAACATTCAAGTTATTGATTGACTTTTACAATATTTACTTCTTACTTTGATGAGCGATGAAAACCTATATACACACTCAAAAGAGCGACGGAAGACACCAAAAGGGATATCAAAATCATAAGTCGAAAACAAACTAACACTGCCATGGCAAAAAACGAAAAACGACCACAAGACAAACAACAGTATACAGAATATAACATAGAAAACTAAAGACTAAGCGACACGAACCCCACCACAAACCGGGGATGATCTCAAGTTCTCCGGAAGGGTGGTCAGATCCCTTAGCTGTTCAACTGTTTCGGTTCTTATACATCCTTGGCTTTCAACTACTCGGCTTTTCAGTGTCCCTGATGAAGGTAAATCCAGAAAAATGCTTCGAACGACTTATGTTTCATATCAGGATTTCTAGAGAGTGGCAAACATTGCGGATTCAATGTGCGGTTTATAACGGACGAATTGGTTTTAATTTCCCATCTGATGTCGTTTATGGATCACAGTTGATATATGCAATTTATAAAATGTTGTTTTCCTGTTTAGACTTTTTACAATTAGGTATACTCTTTCAGCGTCGTCAATAAGAATTACCTAATATATGTTGACCTCTTTATGTCTTTTGGTTATTGCATCGTTGGTTACACATATATCTCATTTCAATATCTTAATCACATTTAATTTATCATATGTCGTCGGTCAATCGAGGAATTTTTTTTTTATTTCCATGCATTCAAACTACAAGCTAACAGATTTAAACCGTTACACCTTCTTGCACACAACAATTAAATTACTATTAAACTTTCTCAAGGAAAAGCTCATACTTAATATAAATAAGAAGATGTGGTATGAGTGCCAATGAGACAACTATCCATCCAAGTCACAATGTTTAAAAAGTAAACAATTATAGGTCAAAGTACGGCCTTCAACACGGAGCCTTGGCTCACACAGAACAGCAAGCTATAAAGGGTCCCAAAAAAAGACTAGTGTTAAACAATTCAAACAGGAAAACCAACGGTCTAATCTATATAAAAAAAGAGAAACGAGAAACACTTATGAACCACACCAACAAACGACAACCACTGAACAACAGGCTCCTGACTTAGGACGGGTGCATAAAAATGCAGCGGGTTTGAACGTTTTCACAGGTGCCAACCTTCACCCTAACCTGAAACAGTTGTTTTACATTACAACATAAAAAGACACACAATAAAATATCAATTGAAATGGCTTAACTCGATCAAAAAGACAATACACGAAAACAAGTAAGTTAAACTGAACGAATAAGTTTGATCTATGACACAAAATAAATAAAAAGATGTTTCAATGTCAAAAAGACAACTTTAACCTAGGGCAAAATGGCGTTAAATAAAGTTACGTACAAAGGTAAATTTGAATAAAATAATTTTGTTGCTAGGAGTACAGAAACATTTTTTCCAAAATAAATTTGTTATTCATAGTACAAGTACAGGAGTGAAATTTGTTTTCGTCATTCTAAATACTTAAAGGTGGTACATATTAAAAATAGTAAGGCGAGATATAACACAAAATAAGTAAACATTGAATAACAGAAATGCATTACAAATTGTATCAACAGGTCAAATTAACACGAAAGTACGATTTTCGAGTACTTGCAGTTACTGATTACTGAAAGCTAGTTAAAAGTCAAAAAGTTCATTTGTTTGTATTTTTTAATCGTTTTCGTCGAGAACATGGTACTTTGTTATGAAACACATATTCAATATTTTAGTAGAAAAGACCCTGACTGCCATTATCATAATACTTAGACCATTTTGACATTGACTATAGATATGCATGCATTATACTAACTATTTAATGAGCCTGTATTGTATGTTCTGCTGTTAACCTTATCATTCAACTCGTCGAGATGAATAGTGGTTCTCGCTATTGCTTAGGCTCCTCATTATGTTTCTGTGCCTTTCAAAGGTCAGAATGAGTTGTTGTCCTTATTCATAATTTAGAATTGAGTATTGGTTGAGTTCATGAACTTTGAAAGTGTTTGAAATATTTATTCTTAACTTGTATAAACTCCATTTTGAGCTTCTGCAAATGTATATATTGACCTCTAGAAGTCTATAATATATTTAATATAGTACTGTTTCGGACATGAACTATAAGATAATTTAAATTTGATGTTGTTATTTTTATTACAGAAAAAACTACATTGCCCTCCATATTTATTTTGACCAGCTCTCTACAACGATTTCAAAGCAGGTACCAAAATATGCCTCTGCTGGAGATATATTTGGTATGTATGTCATCATTTTAATCTGCTCTTCAGTGACATTGTTATTTATCGCAAGTTATATATTCGTTTAACCGGTTCCACTCGAATAAAAGGGCCTTTTTAATCGCTGGTTTTTTGGTTTGATTTGTGTTGCACGTTCTTCAGATTTCTAGGTAGTGATTTTTGTAATGATATGTGTCTTTTTCGTCGTTTTTTGTTTGCGTTGGAATTGTCTGTTTTACTTTGACACTTTTTTTTATGTCTTCTGCTTCATTTATTTAATATTCATAAGAATTGCTATATTAGTGCGCGAATCTGTTTTAAGGGATACAAGTACAGAATAGATCCATTTTTTTTATCTACAAATAACAACTTGTAAAACGCGTTGGAAATATTTTATAGTAAAATAAATGTTCGTTACACGGATAATTTTTTTTAATATCAAATAGAAACCTTGAGTTTGCTTATGTATTACTGAATTTTGCCTTACATATTTGCATTAGGACTTCAGGTTTCTTTAATATAGTGCAAAACTGCATAAACTTCTAAAATGCTTCTTGCCAAAATGTCTGATTTTGACATCTTCTTAAAAATATTTAGATTCGAACAACAGCTTTTCCCAAAAAAGATATTTTGGTACTAGATGTATTTTACACAGACACTAATGTGTGTAAAATATATTTTTTTGGATAAAGCTGATGCTCATATCTATTTTCAAAAACTATGTGAAATAGTCATGTATGTATCATGGCACGAATATGTTAACTTTGGTCATTTATCAAGTTAACAAGTTTACCTTTGAATTAGGGCTTGAGTAATTTTACTATTTTGTCCAATCGAGGTGCCAAACAATGCCTCTTCTTTGCAGTGAATGATAGATCTTGATAGAAACTTTAAAGAGTTGTTGGAATAAGGTTTTTAATGTTCACAGAATTTGGCGCTCTTATAACATGAAGTATCGGATTTAATGACCCCATTCAAACTTGACGTGGCTACATAATTATATATCACGCACCGACAAACGGACGCCACCTCATCATTGGTCGTATTGCCGAACTGAAGAAATAAAGATAATCCTATTTCTATATTAAGTCACCCTTTTGGTCTCTTCCATAAAAATATTTAACTCAGATACTAGATATATCACATTAATTCGAAAAAAACCTAATGACTTTATTCAACATAAATTCAGGACTTCATATTCGACAAGGTAATTTTTACTTTTCGATAATATATTTTCCAAAAGACAATTCGTAAACCAATAGCTACTTATTATGCTCCATTATTAGCAGTAAAAGTTATCCAGATCTCAAAAAAGATTTTGTTAACATTCTTAAGAAAGAGAAAACCATACTGAAACTGTCTTATAACCGGTAATCCTCATCTATGATATTATGGTCGTTGTCAACGAAGCTGCCTCGAATCGGTGTGATCGTGTAGATTCCTTGGAAATTCTACCTTGATAACATGATGAGTCACTAAAATAAAAGAACAACTAATCGAAGAATTGGAATATCCCAAATTATCCAACTCGTGACCTAAAGGAGAGTCGAAAGATACCAAAGGGACATTCAAACTCGTAAGTCGAAAATAAACTGACAACGCCATTGCTAAAAATGAAACAGACAAACAAAAGTACACAAAACACAACATAGAAAACTAAAGAATGAGATACACAAACCCCACCAAAACCTGGGGGTGATCTCATGTGCTCCAGAAGGTATGCAGATCCTGCTCCACATGTGATACCCGTTGTGCTTTAAGTTATGTGCTCATTCATTTGTTGAATATTTTTCAACAGACGAATTCTTGGATTAGATATTCTATAAATATTAGTGATCCTGTAATTATGGGTACTACACAGACGACTCATGTTTCATATCAGGATTTCTAGAGATTGGCAAACCTTGCGGATTCAAATGTGTAGTTATGACAAAGGAATTGGTTTTCAATTCCTATCTGATGACGTTTATGGATCACAGTCGATATATGTCAGAGCATATGATAATTGCAGATTTGCAAACTGCTCTCAATGTTTTCTGTTATCTACAAAAAATATTACAAACAGGGTTTGTGGTTTGGGGAAGATAAACTGAAAGATGTAACGTTGAATGTTTGACTGTTTTATTATAAATAGGTTGAACATGTCAGTGTCATTTACAAGCCAAAATTTAAAACCCTACAACGTATATCCTTTTTCCAGTGGAAATAAAATTTATCAGTCCTTCTTCCCGGTCGTATAAATTAACACAATGTACATAACCTAATTATTTATCGCGCTTTTTCATCCTAAATATGTAAAAAATATTTGCCACTTGATGTTCAGAACAGCAATGTTATAGCTATTGTATAATGTTGACCTCGATTCAGGTATAACACGGCAACAATTTGATTTCATAATAAACGAATTTTTTACTTTCATTAGCTATCCTTGGTGGACAGATGGGATTGTTTCTTGGCGCCAGCATTGTTACTCTCACAGAACTTTGCGAGTTCCTGGTATTTGCTCTCTGGACGTTAGTTTACAACCTAAGAAACAGGGAAAACAGAGTAGAGAAAATAGCAATTAAATAATGAAGAAAAGAAGATTGTTCCAAGTGCAAATATCAACAGTTTGATTTGCAGTCAACTGTTTACTACACGAAAGGTGAAAAAAACAAGTGCCGATTATACTCTCGCATACATTATATGAATGATGTATAATCAATAGTTAGTTCTTTTCATTTAATCTTTGGGTTTTTTTTTCAGGAAAGCTGAACGAAATTTCCCGAATTGACCGTTTCTGTTAGAAATTCAGACAAGAATTATAAAGTTTAAACAAAAGCACGGCCATTTATATCAAAAACATCATATTCCCTTCTTTTGCAAAGTTCTTTAATTTTGCTTCAGATATTTTAAAGATGTTCTGTCACTAAATAAACCACATTTCAATAAGTGTTTACTTTAATTCTTAAAAAAAGTACGCCGAAGATGATATCATTATTATGCTGGATTTTTTTATTGACAACATATTTGTAGAGTTTGGTGGATTGATATCCCGACAGACAGTCGGTTTTCTAATGGGTATACCAATTGTGCACCACTAATGGTCGAATTGTTTTTATACTCATATGAATCAGAATTCACACGGAACCTTCCCAAAGAGAAATTTCACTTTCAGATATATTGATGATGTTATATCATTCAATAACCCACACTTCAATGAGTGCAGAGTACCAGTTAATAAGTCACGTTCGTGCATGTTAACACTATACGGACTTCATTAACAGATAAAAGTATAGTCGTCTGATCTATAATGTTACCGATTGTGTCCTATTGTGACATTTTGATTGAATGTGCATGCATAGCAGGAGACGCTTATCTGTTCACCTGTGTTACCTTTCTCGCTTCTTTTGGAGTTCATGAAATTCCCTCAGTTTTTTTTCTCTTACTTTGATATATCACTTCCAAATCGATTTACGAGATTTAGATATCGGCAAACAACTGTCGTCTTAATTTACATATCAAATATCCCAGTGAATTTGATTAAGCGATACTACCGAAAATAGAAAGTGTGCTTCATATCTTGTTCTTTTCCTCGATGTTGAAACAGATGACCGGCTTCAAGCTGGAATATATGACAATGATGATGGCTTCAACTTTCCAATTGTCAACTTCTCAATTCTCAGCAGTAAAAAAGAGGCGAAAAATTCAACCTCTGTGAAAACCAAAGTAAAAACTGAGCAACATGAACTCAACCAAAAACCGGGGGTGATCTCAGGTATTCTGGAAGGGTAAGCAGATCCTTCTTATGTAAGTACAAACCCGATGATAAGTCTAATTCGGTAGGTCACATTCGGGGAAAGGAGGACGGGATTGTAGTAAAGACGATTGGAACATGTCCGTCGTCATCTTTGAAGCAGTAACATACCCTTTGCTCCATCATTTGGCGTTTGTATATCTCAGGTTATATGTTAAGCTATTGTATGTTTACTCTTTACGGACTTCAGTAACAGGGATGTACTCCTTACACAAAAACTGCAGCAACATTGCTATGGCGATGAACGATTTATGGCGACATTACATAAGTTTTGCGGTCTCTATCACGAATTGAAGAAAACTAAACGATAAAATGTTAAGATAAAATTTGAGAAGATAGCTTTCATTATGTGCCTTTCAGATAATAAACAAACACTGGGACCATTGCGATTTGTTTTCTTGCTACAAAACATAATAGGTAAATTCTCTACACTTTTCTTGATACAAATTAGATTATCTCTTCTTATATTGGCTCTGTAAAAAATAAACGTTATACTGTATTTGTACAAACAGTCATATTAATAAGATAAAACGCACAGTTTTCTTCATTTTGATTGAAAGTCTTACAAATGAACTACTAGTATAATCCTCTCTCGAAATTTGCTTATTTCATTAAAGAACTAGACCGATTGTTTTCTGCTATTTTATATTTGCTAAGGTGACTTATTGTTATTTTAAATGCTTAAATGCTATATGGTAGTAAACATTTGAACTTGTTCACCACATAACAAAAACCTTATGTGTATTTGATTGTTAATAAATACATTTATTTTCTTATTCACGGACTGGAACGCAAAATCAGAGTTTTTAGCAAAACATAGAACACATATCTATAAGAATAGATTGCCTAGACAAGTGCAGCAAAATTTCGAAAAAAAAGGGGTGGGCCAAAACATGACATAATCATATTTAAAAACTATAATTTGGTGAAACTGACAACCTTCATATTTAATTTTCTTTTACATAACCATAATTGGTCCGATCAGTTTCGCGTCTATATGAAAATAAGGAGATGTGGTATGATTGCAAATGAGACAACTACCCACCCAGGTTCAAATGAAGTGGATGTAAGCAAATATAGGCAAACAACTGTACGACCTTCAACAATGAGAAAAACCCATACTGTGTAGTCGGCTATAACAGGCCCCGACATGAAAAATAGGAAACAATTCAATTGAGAAAACGCACGGCCTAATTTATAAAAAAACAATTTACGAAAAACAAATATGACAGACATGAACAAACAACAACCACTAAACTACAGGCTCCTGACTTGGGACAGGTACATAAAGAATGTGACGGGGTTAAACATGTTTGTTAGCGCTCAACCCTACCCTAACCTACCCTACCCTAACCTTGGACAGTGGTGTTACAGCACAACATAAGTACTAACAATAAAAATCAGTTGAAAAGGGCTTAACTCATCAGATCGATACAAAGCAGAAGGACATCTAACAAAAACACAGACCGGACGTGGCAGGGTATTTATACATCCCGAAAAAAAAAGACACAGATTACAGATCTGAGAGTACTCACAGTTACTGACAGCTAGTTCAAAGCCAATAACAATTAATAAAAGAAATCATGTATCTGAGACTAAAATATCAATCGGTATATATCAAACATCCAATGGAATTAGTGTATAGACGTAATCAACAATCAGAGAAAAATATGACCTTGTGCAATCCTAAAATATAGTTATCGACAGATTTTAGTACCGTGAAAGTGCATATGTGTAAAAAAAATACATTTATAATGGTTTTAATTTACTGATAACAAAAATCGTTATTCAAAGATCTAATTACAGTGTTGAATTGGTAACCTTGGTTAGAATAAGTTTATTTAAAGGATTGATAAGTTAACCCGGGTCGTATATAAAATGCCAGGCTCGGTAAACAACATCACCGTAAAATTTAAGATGTGCTATTCCGTCTGAAATAAGTTTTTTACAGGTACAGCCATACTTGGAAGAATTAAGTAAAGGTTTTAAGTAATTTGAAATCCCTGACTAAATAATTTACCAGTAATACATAGATTACACTCATTGAAATCCAAAATGTCACTTCAGACACGGGCATAACGAACGGGTTGGAATATATAAACACCGTAAGACGGTGCCAAAGGAAGATCACCGTCCAAAAAAGGGAAAATTAACAATAGGGAAAGAAAACTCATCTCTTTTGTCGTAAATTTTTGTGTAGAGTTTCTGGTGTAAAACTGAAATGTCTAAATCTAGGAAAGGACACTTATTGCTGTTAATATTTGATTTATTTAAGGTTAGTTCCTTTCGGGTAAATTTCTGCAGTATATTTAGAGAATTTTTGATTACTTAACGAAATCATATCATTAAGATAACGGCAAGTGTTGTTGAATTTATCAATTAAATGGAATTTAGACGGATCTTTAATGAGTTAAGTCATAAACTGTGATCCAGTACAGGAACAAGTCTGCTATTAAAGGGGCACAATTGGTGCCCATAGGAGTACATACAATCTGTCGATAAACTTTATTGCAAAAACGTATATAAATGTTGTCAAGGAGAATATTTATGGCTTTAATCATCTCATCACATCTCCAGTTAGTATATCTAGCATATTTACCTTTCTCATTTGAGAAAAAGGCTTAAACGACCATTTAATTAGATAGGAAAACTTTTTTTATAAGATTGTGTAGGAGTGTAGTATAAAGAGAGGAAGAGTCTAAACTGTCAACCGAATCAAAAGGACCATCTAAAGCTCGTAACTTATCTAAATCATACATGATTTTTAAAAATTCTATTTTTATTTTATTTGCAGCAGCTGCTGCCGTTGTTCCACCGGATGTCAAACTAAATTGAAGACCAAATTAAGTCTTGTCAAAAACTAACTTATGAAAATCTGACAATAACTTGTCCCTAGCAGAAATATAAGATAATTTTTCAGAATTTCCGAAGTATACCACTGTTGTTAAATTTTTTCAAGATCGAACAAGAGAGGCGAAAGATACCAAACGATATTCAAACTCAGAAGTCGAAAATAAACTGACAATGCCATGGCAAAAAACGAAATACGACGAAAAGACAAACAACAGTACACAATACACAATATAGTAAACTAAAGATAGAGCAACACGAATCCCATCAAAACCCGGGTAGACCTTATTTGCTCCGGAAGGATAAGCAGATCCACGTGTGGCACTCGTCGTGTTGCTTATATAAGTACAAACCCGACAAGTAATGGAGTTACTCTTAGAAATAAGAACATCATTACACTCTCTATACACATCTGTTTTACTTATTTCGATAAAAAGTTTTCCATAAGAATAAAAAAAATGCAATATTATTTCTTTTCAAATTTGACAGTTCGAAAAAACGTAAACAACCTGAAAGTACAACAACTCTTTCAAAATCGACTTTTCATTACCATATATTAATACAATATCTTTCAAAATTTCCGGTGTAATGGGCGCCCATTTCGTTGAATTAGCATACATTATTGTTAAGGGACCAGCTGAATTCCGACTACGGGTGCGTGCGGGATTTTATCGCTGCGTTGAAGACCCATTGGTGGTCTTGGGCTGGTTTTTTTTTGTTCTTTGGTCGGGTTGTTGTCTTTTTGATACATTCACCGTTTCCATTCTCTGTTCTATTTGTTTTGTTTACCGTATGACCTATTAATCTTAAAGCGCCTTCTTTGACTAATATATCAAAATCTGACTTACACAGAGCAGTCGATGAGCCCAACTAATACCAATCATTTATCTTGTTATATCAGTTAGCAGATTCGGTCAAATCTATTAGTTATAGAGAAAAATGAGTGTCAAAACCTGTTAGTAAGGTATTCCATTAAATACATACCAATAAGTCTAAGCTTTATAAGAATATTTTTAGTTTTGCGTTGTGTTTTCTGATCCTGACGAAAGCCAAAAGTATAGCAACTTAACTGAAAATTGTAAAAGGTGACTGTTCAAAGATTTTGTTTTGCAATATTTTCCATCTACCAGATGTATTATACCCGAAAAACGTTTACATCATACATATTTTATAATAAGAACACTGATTTATCATGATAATCTATATAATGACATT